GCGGGGCTGGGCCGCGCCGCGCCGGGCGGGGATGCGCAGCCCGCGGCGCCAGGATGCGGGAGGGGAGCGCGGGCGGCCGCGGCGCGGAGAACCGGACGGGCGCCGAGCCCCCGCTGCACCTGTTCCCCGTGCCCGTGCTCACCGGCATCACCGTCGCCTGCGTCCTGCTCTTCGTCATCGGGATCGTCGGCAACCTCATGACCATGCTGGTGGTGTCGCGGTTCCGGGACATGAGGACCACCACCAACTTCTACCTGTCCAGCATGGCCTTCTCCGACCTGCTCATCTTCCTCTGCATGCCCCTGGACCTCTTCCGCCTCTGGCAGTACCGGCCCTGGAACTTCGGGAACCTCCTCTGCAAGCTCTTCCAGTTCATCAGCGAGAGCTGCACCTACTCCACCATCCTCAACATCACGGCGCTCAGCGTGGAGCGGTACGTCGCCATCTGCTTCCCCCTGCGAGCTAAAGTCATCATCACCAAGGGGAAGGTCAAGCTGGTCATCCTCTTCCTCTGGGCCATCTCCTTCATCAGCGCCGGCCCCATCTTCATCCTGGTGGGGGTCGAGCACGAGAACGGCACGAACCCCCTGAGCACCAACGAGTGCCGAGCCACAGAGTACGCCATCCGCTCGGGGCTGCTCACCATCATGGTCTGGACCTCCAGCATCTTCTTCTTCCTGCCCGTGTTCTGCCTGACCGTGCTCTACAGCCTCATCGGGAGGAAGCTCTGGAGGAGGAAGAGAAAGAACATCGGTCCAAACACTGCCATCAGGGATAAGAACAACAAGCAAACTGTGAAAATGTTAGGTACGAGTCCTCTTGCTCTGTTTTTGCAAAAGGATGTGTGTGCTTGTGTGTGTGTGAGAGAGAGAAAAAGACAGGGAGCTCTCTGATAGTTTACTATAGCTCCTTCCAAGGGAAAGAAAACGTTTCATCAAAAGGCTAAACCTCAGGGTAGCTGTAGGATAACTCTGCTTCTCCCTTAGATTTATTTCTAACTGGTTTGAGCTGGGGACTCCCAAACAGTTAAACAAAAATTAGTAAGAATCCCTGACAAGGACAAATACTACAGTTATAATTAGCTTGTGCCCTGGAGATTTTTGAGCATTTTTGCTCTTTGGTTGTGGATACCAATGTTATTTACAGAGAACAGTTTATTTCATTTTTAAACAAAACCAAACCCTTTCTCAAGCCATGAAGTTGAGCTGCAGACTACAGCCAGCCAGGCAGGGCATGATGTGCACTAAGATTCATAGGAAAAGAGTATCAAGGTTTTATCAAATTGGGGTTATTTCCTACCGTGGCTGTGTAAGCTTATGAAAATTAATCTGCATTTTTATATTAGCAAAACCCCAGGATATGCTGAACCATGAGCACCGAGTCTCCTTTGGGGTCTGTGATGCTGCACAATCTCACAGACTGTCAGAAAACAGGATCAGGACAACAAACACTGTCATTCCTAACTTTGTGTATCGACACTGCTGAATGCTTTAAACAGCACCTGTGGTTGGCACGTGGAAACACAAGTTTTAACATTTAACTAAGTCTGTGCATGTAGTGGCAGTTTGAAACACAAACCCAAAAAGTTGTCCTGCAGTTTGGTGTCTGAAAACTGCAGAATCCTGCTGCTGCTGCTGCGTACTTTTACCCAAGCCAAAAGTCCTCTGCAGTGCAAGTCATCCCGTGGATTTGGGGGGGACAAGATGCTCTGCAGGAAGAAGCTTTCACAGGCTCCTTTCAGCAGGGTTGAAGTGGTGGGCTAATGAGGCAGACAAGAGCTGGCAGTGAGTCCTAAGTACCTTAATTATCAGATATGAGCCTATCTGATCTTTTTGTTCATGTCCCAATTTATTACTATGCAACAGCAGAAAGAATAATAAAACCCACAGCATTCTTTATGCCCTTTCAGCTACGTTTTATGATCAATAGAATTACTTCAGTCTGGTAAGCGTGACCTTGAAAGTAATTAATTGCTCACACTTCTAGAGGTTCAGGATTATGAACTTCCACTGACTATGAGTAAATTACATATATTACTACCATGCTTATATTTCCATATACTTAACTGAAAAGAATTTTGAAATAAAAAATGCTTATTTCTGCTCTGAAGTGTTGCCACAAGCATTGCAATATTTCAGGCACTTTTTTTCCTTTTACAAGGTCTGAGAACAGCCAGGCAGTGGCAAGACTCTCCTCTGACAGAGAGCCAATATTCCCTAAATGATAACAGTCTGATGCCTGATAGAAAGATGGGAAGAAGTTAGTGAGGGCTCAGTGGCAGCAGATGCTCAATGCCGTGTCACTGGTGTTAAAGTTCTGCTTAAAATTTAGAAGGTGCTTTCTGAGGCTTTATCAAGTCATGGAACATCAAGTAAATGGGATTAGCATCAGAGGTTCTTTTAACTGTAAAGACAGGTTATGCTTCTGGGACTGAAATTAAACACCTAAATGTATAGTCTGATCTGCAAAGGAGCTATCACATCCCATTCCTATTGAAATCCATGGGTTTCTGCATGCATGAAAATAAAACTGTCAAAAGCCTGACTAGGGATATTGCATGCCTATGTGTGCTGAAAATTCTAGTCATAATAGACTGTGCTTTAAACTCTGCTCATTCATAATGACCATCATGGTAATATTCATTACATGGATTCAAATCCCCATGTGAGCTACTTAAACTCTGCTCATTCATAGTGACCATCATTACATTATTCATTACAATATTCATTACATGGATTCAAATCCCCATGTGAGCTAGGGAATCATCTGAATTTTGTAGTGAAGATAGTGAGGGAAAACTGGAAGTGGTTGGCTCCAGAAGATGCAGAGCTGGAAAACCTATTCTGAACTTCAAGCTCTGGTGTTTTCCACTCCACCACAAGTCCTGCAAAAGCATCTTTTAAAACTTGGGAATGCTGCTGCAGAATTTTTGGTATTATGACTATTCCTCCCAGTAATTTGAATTTCATTGTCTTCTGAGATGTGGTATGAGGATAACTAACACAAGCAGGTTGCTAACACAACCTGCCCACCAAGGCCAGGTTAAACTGGACTTTGAACAACCTGGTCTCGTGTAAGGTGTCTCTGCTGAAAGCAGGGGGCTTGGAAAAAGATTTTCTTTATTTCCTTTCCAACCCACACAGTTCTGTGATTCCATGAACAGGTTAACTGTAAAAATTGCTTAAGAGTATCAGAAACCCTTGCTCGAGTTTTCTGGTTTTTCTCTCTGTAATATATTAATAGATACACTCAGAGCAATATGAAAAATAATGAAGGTCAAAGGCGCACAGGAAATGAACAGAAACTGTTTCCCTTTCTCTCAGATGAAAATTCCAATGGGCCAGTATCTCATGTGTGTATACAGATATACACACATTCCCATTATTCTACAGACATGTATTTACATGTAAATACAACCACGTTAGTAATACAATATTACAGATATACTGTATAACTATAATTATGTAGTTATATACTACACATTTAGTTTTACTGTTCTTGGGAGTAAATCATGTTCCAAAAAATGGACAAACTGGAGGGATGAACTACTCTCCTCATCTTGGCATATGTGCTCTACAAGTTCCAGAAGCATCTTTTAACAGAGTGGATTTTTTGATAGGAAGCTGGTCAGTGAGTCCAGTCCATGCTGCCTAGTCCTCTTCTCATCTTGGCATATGTGCTCTACAAGTTCCCATTCCATGTTTTATTCTGGGGCCTTTGCCTTTAACAATTTTGCTTCCCAGTGATTACATTTTTCATTATAAACCGCAGTGTTGAGTCTATCACATATAATTTGCTTTTCTTAAACACTGCAGATGACAGATAGTTATATTTTGTCACCATTTGGACTCTTTAACAGTCTGTTGATGCAAACATAGGTTTTATAGGTCAGAAGTTAGCTACAACAGATTAGTTGGGCAATGTTCAGGCAGCCTGTTTAGATATGATCCAAGTGTATTAAGCATCACCAATTCATACTCTCAGAGAATGTACTGAGACACAACTGAAAGCTTAGAGGAGGCATTTTCACACTTTGAGATTAATTCGTTAAAGGAACAGAGCTGCAGAACAGAATGTTAATCACCTGTATGTTGATACTCACACTTAACACACTCTCTTCTGCTGTTTTTATTTTAGTTGTGGTGGTATTTGCGTTCATACTCTGCTGGTTGCCTTTTCACGTAGGACGGTACTTATTTTCCAAATCCTTCGAAGCCGGATCCCTGGAGATAGCAGTGATCAGCCAGTACTGCAACCTGGTGTCCTTTGTCCTCTTCTACCTTAGCGCAGCCATCAACCCCATCCTGTACAACATCATGTCCAGGAAGTACCGCGTGGCCGCCTGCCGCCTGTTCGGACTGCGAGCCCTGCCCAAGCAGAGCCTCTCCAGCAGCAAGCAGGGCAGCTCCCGCGGCTGGACAGAGCCCAGCGTCATCACATGACACCAGGCACCCCGACAGCACCCGCCGAGCCCCCCATGAAGCCACAACGGCAGGGGAAGAGGGCAAGGAATGGGAATCCCAAGGCTGGAAGCGCCGCTGCGGTCATCACCCCGACGGGCTGAGAGGCGCGGTGCAGGCAGTTAAAGACCCGAGGGAAAAAACCTAAAGTTTGGGACTCTGAGAGGAGAGAGGCGGTCACAGAATTTGGCAACGCTCCAGGTGTTATTTTTGTGCTGCTTTTGCCCGTTTGATTTTTTAATGCTGACTTTAGCCCAGACCTAGGCTGTGCCGTCCTGGCCAGGCAAACGCGGCCCACTTCACTCGAGAGTTTGTACAACTTCAGCAGCGCCAATTTTTCCAGAGTTAGCTTTAGTTTTGTTAAGAATTTTGCTAGCATCTAATGAGACCCTAGAGTGAGAATACTGAATTGCCTTTTTGGAGTAGTAAACAGGAAATTTGATACACTTTTCATAATACCAATTTTTAAGTAAGCTCATGTTTTTCTCTGAATGGGGAAAATTATTTCTTAAAAAAAAAAACCAGATATAAAATGGATAATTTTTAAACATGCTAAAATTAAATAACCTTCGTGTCACATCCAAGTAGAAAGGAAACAAAAAAAAAAGCTTTCACAGAAGTGGCTTAGAACGTGACTGCACTGAAATATTTTTTTAAAATATATATCAGTGGGACAAGGACAGTGCTGACTTCAGGCCTACAGTGATGCTATAAAAATGTGGAATGCAATCACCCACCAAAGTCTCTCTTTTTTTTTTTTTTTACTAGCTAAATCATTTGTACTTGTTCTGTTCAGTTTGACTGTGAATGACTTGATGTCTTTGAACTTGGAAGCTTTTAATTGTTTCAATATTTGTAAGGAGTTTGTGGCTACCTGTCCCTAACTGCACCCCACTGCACCCCGAGCTTGCTGAGGACAGGTATCCTGTCTGTAAACCCCCCATGTTTCTGTTCAAAGTCTGTCCCAGTGCCACATCCCCCTGTAAAGCCTGGTGTGCATTTGTGCTCATTTGCTGCAGTGTTGAATTGAGAACATTTTGCATTTTTTAACCACTGTGACCTGAGAAAACAATAGAAAATAATAGAAAAATGTGCATTAAAGGACACAGGCAGACACATTCTCATACTTGATTCATAAACCCCTTAAATTAGATTTTCATACCTCAAGTGTGCCATTTCAAGGCAGACCAGAAAATGTTCCATCTTCTGTGCTAATGAATATGGCTTATATTGTCTCACCAACATGTGGGTTTTGTGCCCCACAGAGCTGACAGAGCATTGGAGCATGCATGTGTGATAGCAGCTTTCTGTTCATTTGGTTCTAGTGCTCATCCCCAGCTGCTCCACAGCCCTCTGTCCCTGATGAATTTTAATTCTCCCTAGTGAATTGTGTGTCAGCAGAACTCTCCTGCCTCCCACCCCCTGCTCACACCGATGGGCCACCTCCCCTCATTACACCTTCAGGTTGAACTCACAAGAGAAATTGGCCTCTTCTGTATATTCAGTGTCTTTTCTATAAACTTGCTGGGGCCAGGGGCTGGTTGCTGCTCCTTGGTGGCACCTGAGCCTGTCCCCTCCCGGCTCCAGGAGTGCAGGATTTGCGTGCAAACACCCACACTGAGGCACTGCAGCACTGCAGCATCACCTCCTGCTTCACCTCTACCCACAGGCACCTGGCTGTCCACGCTGTTCTCTCACTCACTGGCTGGCAAGCAGGTCTGGTGGCAGAATTCATGCAACTCAGGGAAACAAGACATTTGGGAACCAAGGAAAGAAGGTGCAGATGTGAGCTCAGTAACAAAATGTCTGTATAAACAAACCACACACACACACACCTGGCATCACATCGGTGTTTCAAATCTCAGCTGTGTCTGTGCTGTTAAATGTGAACAGAAAAAGAAATAAAGTGATCAGACCCTTTATAACCCTGTGGCTCTGTGGTGGGAGAGGAACTAGTGTGATTCACACAACTGGATTTTAATTTTCTTTTTTTTTTCATATTTATATTTTAGTTCTGTTCCCCAAATCTGTATAACTAACTTGATTAGGCTACTTTGTTTAATCAGAGTAACTACAACATTAAAGCCCTGTGTAGACACATTTGTGCATACAAATGACAAACATACTAATAATTTCATTTAGCCTAAACATTTCACCAGGAGAAAATGTAAATTTTAGCTCTACTAACACTGTAGTAAATTTTCCACAATTTTGTATATAGAATGAAATTTAAAACATTTGATCTGGGGTCATAAAAGTCAGAAAAGCACTGTCTGCTCCTTGGGAGGCAGGACAGGACTTCCTTCTAACTGAGGAGTTGGACTCATTTTTCCAAGTCCTTGGACAAATCTAGCAAAATACACCAATTATTATTAAAGAAAAATAGCCAGTTTCATAGGACTCTTGCACAAGCAGGAAAATACTTCATATCTAGCAGGGAACACAAACATTTAACGCACTGTAGCTGTTACTACACCAGTCAGTGTTGGTGCCCTCAGTACCAAAACTTTTCTATATGAATTCTCTAAAGCCAGCGGGGTCACACCAGCACATGTTGAGGAACTGCTGCTTCAAACTGGTACATAATGAGCTGCTTTTATATGGAAAGCAGGGAAAAAACCACCTCACAACCTGGATAACCCTCACTTTTGCATCATAAAATCAACTTTTGTCTCATGCCTCCAAAAAGATACACACATCACCATCTGCACTGATGGAAGAATCCAGCATTGTTTGTCTTGAGTGTTATTCAGAGAATCACAGAACATAAAAGGGACCTTAAAGACTCTCTAGTGCCAACCCTGTGCCATGGGCAGGATGCCACCCACTAGATCAGATTGCTCAGGGCCCCATCCAAGCTGACCCTGCCCAAGTTGTAAGAAATAACTCCATGGGGGAAAAGAAAAAAGAAGTGTGAGCAAGATTGGAAGGGCGGTTTTTTACCCAAGAGTGGTGAAGTCAGTCCAAGGCAGGCATCATCAATCTGTCCCAGGTACCAACAAGGGCAGGGCTCCTCCTGCCTTGTCTCTGGCAGGATGAACAGGGGCAGAGTGGATGCTGCAGGTGCAGAGGGCAGTGACAAAACAGCACTGTGCTGGCACAGTGATGCTGGATGTCCTGGCAAATATTTCCCAGCACAGACAAAGCCTTTCTCCTCGGCTTCCCAGAGCATTTCTGCAGCACCTCATGTTCCTGGCAGCTTCTCCCCAAAGCCTTCCCTACATGAAAGGGCAAAGCTGTGCCTCCCATCCAGTTTTGGGCCTGGACATGGTTTTTGAGATCCATTTTTCATGGGGGAAGACAAGAGTACCTTCAGGCACTGGGCTGTTCATTGGTGTGGCAGATAGGGCAGCTCTGCAGGAAAGGGTTTTTTCAGGCTTGAACCTTTCCATTTCTGGAAACTCTTCTCTGAGGGAACAAACCTTGCCAGTTCTGACTGAAAAAAAACCCATAGAGACTGTAAGAGTCAAAATTTTGCTGTGTTCTTACTGACTTGAATGTGAGCAGCCCACAGAGAAAATAACTGAAAGTTCATTCATTAAACAGTCCCAGTTTTAAAAGCTTTTCTACCTCTACATTTTGTATCACAGCTTCACAAATAAACAAGGACAAATTGGCTGCATTTTCTTTCTTGGCAATGAGTTAAATTGGTGATGAAATAGGTCAAAAGGACTGTACCATAAAGCTTCATTCATTTTACAAAAGTACCTTTGATGGAGGCACGCACAAGCAGAAAATCATGTCCCATTGTATTTCTTGCCAAAAATAAAATATACTGGAAAACCAGCACTTTCTGTCAAAATCTGAATCGATAGATATTCAGCAGTTATGTAAGTTTGTATCAAATGACAATTTGCATAAGCCCATTAAAATCAGCAGCTTTTAGATACCTAAACACCCAAGGGAACCCCCTCTCTTTCATGGATCTGCTGGTTTTGGGGTGCTGCTGCTCTGAGCCCAGTGGATGTTTCTGGATGGGCTTCCATAGGGCTTGTATCTTTTACAAAAATCCCATGGCCTTGAAGAGGTAAATTACATCTTGAGAAGTAAATTCAAATTTGGAACAAAAAAATCTAACTCATCTCCCAGGGATGGCCCTGCTGTTACTTCCCCACATTATGAACCACCCTCCTCATCCCCAGCTGAAAGCACCATAACTACATCTTACCCTCACAACTCCCAGTAAAAAGCATCAGCACTATTTTACAAAAATTAAATTGAAGCCCTTGACATTCTAGCCCCTTGCTCAAACCCTACTGTCCCAGAATGATGGGGTGTGGATCTGCTCACACCCTCTGGATGTCATTCCCAGGTTTGGGCTGGGTCTGGCAGCTCCCAGCATCATCTTTCTGCTCCTGAGCTGTGCTGCCAGAGTGCTCAGCACAGCAGCCCAATTATTCCCAAACTTTGTTTGGGAAACAAGCAGCCTCTGGCTGACACTGCAGAGACACCGTGTGCTCAGTGTCCACAGCCCTGGCTCTGCATCCCTGCTGCCCATGGTGAACCCACACCTGCAGGGGGTTTGTGTCTGCACAGGAATCCTTGCACCAGCCCCTGGGCCTGCATACACACAGGAGCTTCCCAGAAAACCTCAGCATGAGCCAGCAGATGCAGTTGCAGGAGCTGATGTCCCAGGTCCCCTGCACTGTTTGACACTACTGCTGTCAGGCACAGGCAGCTGCAGTCTCACCCTGCCCAGAATGATGCCAGCAGCACCTGGAGAGCTGGAAGCTCCCACGGTGTTAATGGGAAATCTCTGCTCCTTTGGGCAGGTCCATCATTCACTGAAGGCAGTGACACACATCCCCTTCAGCCATCTCCTCTCCCATCTCCACCTGATGGACCACCCGGAATCCTTCCCAGCTCTGCACAACCTTCACAGGAGTAAAACCATTTCCTCACACAGGCGTGCTTGCCAATGGCTTTTCCCTCTGAAACACGAGTTCTGGTGAGAGACAGGCAAAACCCACAGGGGTTTGGCTTCATGTCCCACGTCCCTGGCCAAACTTTTGCCCAAAGCAGTTGTTAGATGATGGAACCACAACCCTGCCTGCTGCTGTTTAGGAGAAAAAAGCAAAAAAGCAAATGTTAGATTGGAATTTGCTT